TCTTATATGGCCACACCATTCATTTAATATGATACATGTGACTATATATATATATATATATATATATATATATATATATATATGTTGAATTTCCTATATAGTTAGTTGTATTCACTCACTATCTAAGTTTGCTTTTTTTAATTTCTTTTTTTTGAATCCCCTTACTATAGTATGGAAACATTAACTTTTTTCAACCTCATTTGATTGTAAAATAATTGTAAATATTGGTTTGGTTCTCAACATAACGAACTTTACTATTCGCAGTACTGGTGAAAAATAAAAAATTAATTTGAAAAGTATTTCAAGTGAATATAGTTTTAATCACAAATTTTCAGTTTTTTTTTCCAAATAAACTTCATGATCAAACACAACTACTTGTAAATATTCTTCTTCACCTTAACTGCAAATACTACGACAATATACTTCTTGATCGAAGCTCTATCTCTCATTCAGCCCTTCGCAAGCTTTGAACTTATCTTTATAGCTTCTCGGGCTCTAGGCTCGACAATGTTCACAATTCATTCTTCAGCTAGTTTATTTTGCACTCTCCTAGTAATATTCATCCATCTGAACATTGGAACAAAAAAAAAAAGGCAGCCCGGACCAAGCTCTCGCTATGCGCGGGGCCAGGGCTCAAGAGAAGGGACGGATCACATGGGTCTATTGAACGTAACCTTACCCTACATTTCTGCAAGAGGTTGTTTACACGGCTTGAACCCGTGACCTCCTGGTCAGATGGCAGCAACTTTACCAGTTAGGCCAAGACTCCCCTTCATCTGAACACTGGAACAGTCACAAGAAAATGCCCTACTCCACATTCATAACAGTTACCTTTGGCAGACACACGTACACTATATCAGGGCAAGTTTATCTGGCCTCTTTAACATACAGGAGAAAACCTAGTAATTAAAACTACAGTTCTACCATGACTAGAATTACGAATTGATTATTTTATTTGATGGATTGTCAACATTGCGTTTCATCGCCAACTTTACGTACAGGGAATGAAATGGTCTTCAGGCTTTTGGATTGACATTGTGAGATCAGCGTTTGGTAGCGATATGATCCTGCCCTCGCCAACTTTACGTACAGGGAATGAAATGGTCTTCAGGCTTTTGGATTGACATTGTGAGATCAGCGTTTGGTAGCGATATGATCCTGCCCCTTCCTTCCACTTAGCAACATTATGATTCTTTGCATCATGCCATGGCAAATGACCAGATATATTTCCTGTATTAAAAATGAAACAAACAAAGGCAGTTACTACGATATTTCCTGGACACACACATATGGCCCCCTTTTGCACTAGATCAGTCTTTTTGGAGTCTTCTTTTCTAAAACTCAGTCTAAAGCAACAACTACTTATTTTTTCCCACCAGACTCCCAAGTCTTAAAATAAGTACATATTCCAAAATATGTCATAACTAATACTCAAGTTGATGAAGATGCATTCGAATATAGGAGTAGGATGTATTTAGTACATCCAGTGACGTATTTAGTGTACGTATTGTCTGCACTCAATGCCTTCAATTTGACCTATATAAAGTTGAATAATTTTTAAAATTATTGACGCTATGTTCAAACTGACTGGAAAATAAATACTGGATACCACCACCTACCGATTTAAGAACCTGGATCCGCCTCAGAATACATGTTCCTTGAGCATCTCTCTCTATAGAAACGTCCGTGCTGACACTTCATGGAACAAGTGGTTTTCTATCCCAGGCCTCTCTTGCTCCAACCAAATCAGGACGGTATCTCTTAGCTAACACTTCTACTTGTGCAGCAAATGACTTGTTTTCATGTTGACTTATTTGACGAACCATCTGTTTCAATCTTTTTCGACATAACTCTCCATCCCTGTGGTCAAGGAGAATGTCCCAATCCACGTCCTCTATGCAGCTTGCATCCAGTTCAAAAAGGGCATCAACTAGGCGATAGTCATCAGTATCTGCCCATTCACCTGCGGCCACCATCGGTGATGTTAATTGTCTGTACCATTTATTGCAGCAATGCTGAGAAATCCTGGTGGACAAATTGTCACTAATTGCATTCCAGCAAATATTATCCCGTAACATCCCATGCTTCGATTTCTTCTCTTCACAGAGCTTCAGTTGCAGATCCGCGTTTACCAAATCAAACAAAGTCTGAATTTCCTCCTGAGACCAATTTCCTTTCTTCTGATTGGCCAGTTTTATCCTATTCCATGCATTTGCCACATGAACCGGATGTTTCCCAAGTTCATTGGCCAAGACCTTCCACTTGGTTCCATGTTCTCCATGGAACTTTCGCACCATCTCATACTCTTCTTCAGTCCATTTACGCTTTTCACCCTTCGAAACAAACATTGTGCACGAGAATAAACTGCTCTATAAGGCCTGTACGGTATAGCCTTCCCTATTTCTTTCCAGCAGCCCCTTACTTCAGGATTAGATATAGGGTTCAAAACCTTTTGCAACCCTTCTTCGCCCAAGTTATATACCTCTATGTATCTATAAACAGCGTCTTTGACTATTTCATCTTCTTCTTTTGTGAACCATTTGCCGTACAGTAATTTTTCATCCTTATTTTCATGCTTCTCATCACTAGGATCACTGGTTGGAGGGGAAAACTGTACATGATCTGAAAATCGCACTCTTTTTTTACTCTTTCCATGTGCAAGATCTTTAGAATTGTGTCCTAACTTTGTCCTTTTCCTCCTTCTGATATTAGCTTCATCTATTTTGCTATCTGTTATCTCTTCTGTAGATGTAACATCACCTTGACTGACACCAGCCACGATATCTAACTGTCCATCCTTTTTTTTCCTCTTTTCCTTTTTCCTTTTCTTACTCTTCACCTCGTCTATAACATTTCCATCAGAGCCCTCGCTGAGCGTCTCAACCGCCTTGGTTTCCTGTGTTTCGCTCGCACTTTCATTAGCAACTGTTTTGATATCAAAACTAGCATCATGCATTGTCAATGTACCCTGCTCATTCTTCGACTTATTTTTCTTTTTCATCACATTTTTAACAGCATCCTCGCAACTGCCTTTACTGGATTTCCCACCGCCTCTTTCTTTCTTTCTCTTGACATCACAATCTTCACTTTTTTCGGGTGCTTTAGTTTCTATCTTTGCCTTATCCCTTTCTTTCCTGGTCCCTATAAAAGAGAGACTCTCTTCCTTGAAAATTAAATCACATGCAATAGCTTCGACATCACCCTTCGTCACTCCTAAACAATTGGTGCTAGCACTCTTTTTACTTTTCTTCAATTTCTTCTCCGACTTCACGAGCATACCAACCTTCTCATCTCCTTCGACCATGCCTCTTTTGGAAATGTTGCCTGTGTGTCTTCTTGCAATGCACCAAAAGTGGTTTGTCTGCGAAGGGAGAAAGAGAGAGAATAAAAGAATGGTTAAGACAGCGAGTACTTTTGTCATACCAATAAATACATGAAGTTTATTTTTTTTTAAAGTTTTAAGTTATATACATCGTTAGTGTAACCTGTTTTTGGAATTTCTGATTTTAAGTTTAGAGTCAAATGCATTTCAAATATAAAGCAAACCCCCAAAATAAAAATCAAATCTAACATCTATATAATGAAAAACTGGTGCAGTTCCCAAATTACCATCGCAAACTAAAATGGCTACACGATTAAAGCATGACATTAAAACTTCAAACAGTAAATCTAACATCAATAGAAAGGAAGAAGTATCTGCTATTTTGAAGAGAAAATAGAATTAAACTAATCAATATTAAGCACCAAAGTGAACCCCACCTGCTCGAAACTATTCTTTAATATATGAAACCTTATGTATTTGTGGCTACTCTTTGTAAAACTAGCATGAGAAGCCGTTTGAATAATTCCAAGCAAATGAACTTCACCGTTCTTTTGATTAACCCACGATAAGATATCCACCAGATCTAACACCTAAAAAAATTGGCTTTTTCCTATGTGAAGATGAAAATCAAATTTTGCAACTAATATAGCATCAAAAGAACCATGTTTTAAACGACCACTAACTATCAAATTAACAAACTTAAATTTACAATAAATACCATAAGAGCACCAAGCAAGGGTGGAGGCACAAGCCAAGCTATGGATTCGGCCGAATCCAGTAGCTTTTGCTCAAATAGTATATTTGGTGTTTAGAATTCATAAAATATGTGCCACTATATAAAATTTAGAACCCAGTCATTACACTTGAAATTATCGTTCAAAAATCCAGAACCCATAAGATTGAAATCTTGGCTCCGACTCTGGCACCAAGTGTGTGACTAACATCATAAAAGCTTACTATAAATACCATAAGAAACAAGATACAAATCGCAGCAAAGACAAAAAATGTAAGTAATTTCTTATCATCCGTC